GCACTCCAGACACACCTCCATGATAAAGTCTACACCATATATAGATGGACTAGACTATCATATCTCACCATTCATCCACACCTACTGTCCTTTGGAATAGACCTGTCTAGAATATGTCTCATTGAGAACCCACTGGTCAATGAGACACTCTACTGTCCTTGCATTAGAAACCCTACACCTGTGGACATCATGCATAACCTACCCCTCCTCCTCCCCTCCATCCATTGCTGATAATATATCCTCAGATAACATTACCATCATTCATGACTACCTAACTATCAATGAGACTTATGGACGCTCTACTTTATTGAAGTACTTTAGTGAACATCATCAGTCACCAAGTGCTTGTTTGCATAATGTAATGGGGAAAGAAGGTCCTAGTTCCGTTGGTGATATCGTTAATGATAATAAATGGAAGGAGTTTATGGAGGCTAAGGAACCATGGGGTTATATGTGGTAAGATAGAGAGAGAGGGAGGGAGGGAGAGTTAAAAATAAAAGAGAAGTGAAAACATTGACATATGTTGAAAGATGACAAATGTTTGCATTGAAATAGACAGTCTTTTTAGAAAAAGCCTTATTATTATTACTTTTTGCTTTTCTAGGCATGATTGTCATGATTTCTCACCATTGCGTCCATACTTACCTCAAATTAATGATAATAATATCAAGGAAAGCAATGTAACAGTCTACACCTTATTAACAAGATGGCAGAAAGCATTTTCTTATGAATTTGTAAGTACATGTAGCTATTATTATAGTTGTTGTTATTATTATTTGTTTGTTGTTGTTTACCATAGGATGATGTTGACATGAATTCAGTGGTGCTATTGGTAATACAAGGTACTGTACACATTAAGATTGATCCAAACAGACACTGTGTGCAGTATTGCATTGAACAAACTAAAAAGATGATAATGAACCAGGGGGACATTTGTAAGTATTAATGCATGATGTGCAGCTGTTAAATTTAATGCTTTTTAAACTTAATTTTTACTGGTAATTTTATGTTTTTTTTTTAACTTTTTTTTCTAGTGATTTATGATAAAAGGTATTGGATATACATTGCCAGAAGTTGGAGTGAGACAACATTTCTATTGACAATACCTTTTATCAAATCATCAATTAATAATAATTAATAATGCAAGCACTCATGCATGTGTGGGTGTGGCCAAGTACTGCAATTAATTAACTAATTAGTATTTAATTTTTTAGCTACTTCGTTTTGTAATTAATAATAATTATTAATAATTAATTTCATGTATACAGGTATAAAAGAAATATAACTATTAGTAATAATAATAATAGGAATAAAACAGCTTTTTATTAATGAAATCAGCAGATGTCTTCAATGATAATAATAATAATAATAAT